AGAGAGAGAGAGAGAGAGAGAGAGAGAGAGAGAGAGAGAGAGAGAGAGAGAGAGGACCAGGTAGCAACAGCACACAAGCTGAACACATGCAATCATGGTAGTCACTGCAAAAGAAGATTGCTATCAAATGATTCAAATTCAAGCAAAACGAAACCCAAGACAAGCAGGCTCGATGTGTCATATCTGCTGTCGCCACCATCAAACCGCCAACACTATGATCCGCCTATCCAACCCTCAAAACACAACTGCATAAGACCAGACTCACTTTGGTGCCAAAGAAGCATCGAAAGGATATGGTGTGACCCCAGTGGAGCAAGAATTTAAACCACCAGTACTTCCGAGGCACTTTTCTCAGAGGCTGGAAACATGCTGCGCGGCCAAACAATCGAACCGGTGAGGGCCTCCTTTTGCTCCGATGGAAGCATCTATCACCTATCTCAGTTACCTTCTCCCCCCATCCCCCCCCACCCCCCCCAACAAAAAAAAAAAGAAAAAAAGAAAAAAAGATCTGGATATTTTGTGATCAAGTGGGTAAACCACCGTGACATGCCAAATTGGCCTGGGCGAACTTGGATATTGCAAAGATTATTTAAATTTTAATCAGATTCTACAAGGTGTTTGTAGTTATTATAGTTTTGTACACAATCGCACCAAACTGCACTGTGTTCAATATATCATAGTAATCATACAATATTCCGCCATGACCACATTGTTTAGGGAACGTCTCATTCTACCAGCGTGAAGGATGCATAGTTGGGGGGCTCTCCGAAGAGTTTACCTTGCCTCCTGAAAACCTGGGCTAGAGGCAAAAACTTATGCAGCCGTTACTCTGGACTCTCGAGGGTAACTTAGTCTTTTCTCAGTGGTTACTGAGCAGTAAGAATTAAAAGATGAAGCCTTCTTCTCGAGGGTAACTTAGTCTTATCTCAGTGGTTACTCAGCAGTAAGAATTACAATATGAAGCCTTCTCGAGCCGTCGATTTGGATCTTGATTCCCGAAAGAAAGCATGGGCTAGAGGCGAAAAATTCTGCAGCAGTTACTCTGGGCTCTCGAGGGTAACTTGCTCTTATCTCAGTGGTTACTCAGCAGTAAGAATTAAAAGATGATGAAGCCTTTTCAAGCCCTCAATTTGGGTGCCATTGGGAGCATTGTCAGTCTGACATCATATTGGGAACGACTGCGACCACGGTCGGCTCACAGAGGACTCCATGAGCTACATACATCTTGCAGTCAAACCACCAGTATACTTCCTAAAGTTGTGCCCGTTAACAAGCCACAATTTTATTTTAGGAAACGTACGCGCCACTACAGGAGCGCCCAAATTCATCCGACTAGAAATGTTTCTACTCTATGTTTCCCCCCCCCCCCCGGCTGATAGCTGGGCCAAGTACTGGTGGTTTAAAGACTCCGAGATGCTTCTTTCACTGCAGCGACTGCGCTATGATCTGGCATTTCAGGTCGGCGGCGATGGCAGGGGAAGCGCTGTCGTGCCCATTTCCCGCTTCGGAGCGTTCAGCTCTATGCAGTGGGGAGAGCATACACGTTCTCCGATTGTGACCTTCGCCTGTGGCTCCAACGACTTGGCTTCTCCGCGTGTTATTTCTTCGGGTTCCTGTGATGCTTGTCCGTCTTGTATGTTGCGCTTGAAGGTGTTCGCTTCCTCCAACTGAAGACGGTAATTGAGCGCACAATGTCAAATCAGTTAAGTGAACGTAGGGCAGCATGCAAACCGTCTAGGGGATCATCGTGCATGGCTGTATGCTGGTCATGTTTGGAAGTCCATGTGGAGCCTCTATGCTGGGTCAACCATGTCTCGGTGTGAAGGTTCACTGCTGAGGATTCTCTCTCTCTCTCTCTCTCTCTCTCTCTCTCTCTCTCTCTCTCTCTCTCTCTCTCTCTCTCTCTCTCTCTCTCTCTCT